CCGCTTTGGCACGCGCGAGTAGCATGCCGTGGCGGAAGTGCGAAGGAAGGCGGCTGGAGAGGAGAGGGATGGAAAGACAAAAAATCGGCGCTCGGGGGAAGAAAAGCGTAGCTACGCTGCTCGGCGTGTCAGACCAGCAGCAGGTATCAAATTCCGACCCCCCCCTTTCCCTATCCCCCCCTTTCGTCCGGCCCGAGTTTCGGGCAAATCGCACCTGCAGCGCGCGTTGCGTGTGACACAACGACTCGGCTTGTCATCCAAGATCGCTGCCGTGGCCGCGTGCGCATCGAAAACCGAATGACACTTGCCGAGCGGCAGCACCCCTCTTTGGGCCCCTGCCTCCAAGAGATCCGCCGCCGCCCCCGGCGATTCGCCGGAAACCCACAACGACTAGAAGACCTTTGTCGCTCACCAAACATAGCGAGCCGCTCGGGCGCACGCGGAACGATGTCGCCTTGATGTCTGGCGACGCATACGGGTGGGCCACGCCTTCGTGCCGCAGCTTTGCTGTCTGAACTTCCAAAGCGTCGGTCGCACAGGATGATGACCAAAAAGGCGGCTGTAAGTCGCGGGACGGCGCGCGTCACAACAACTACTGACATCGCCCGCGCGGCCCGGTTTCCGCGCTGCCGCCCCCACCATGCGCATGGCGGGTCCAATCGCTACGTGAATGGCAACCGGTTCGCGCGCGGGACGCAACACTTCGAAACGGGAAAGATCCCCCGCCGCTGGCGCGCGCCGCCCCTGACTTTGTATTTGCCTGACCATGCCGGGAAAAACCCTCCTTTGTGTTTGTATATATATATATATATATATATATATATATATATATGTGTATTTTTCATTTTGCGCGATGCCCGGCCCCAACCCCCCTCCCCAGGTGACGTCACGTTCCGCGCTGGCGGCGTCCAGGAATGTCCATGGATGACCGAAGCCGAATAAGGGGCAGCATGTCGGTGGCGATCTGCACCACAGCGCCAGTGTACACCACAGTGCTCGGGTGCACCACAGCACGCGTGCACGCTGCATCGCCTGCGTAAACTGCAACAGCCGTGTTTAACGCAGCGCCTGTGTCCAGCACAACGCCTGTGCATACCGCAGCAACCGCGCGCAACGCAACACCAATGTACACCACAATGCCTGCGTACACCGCAACGCCGCTTTACGCCACAACGCCTGCGTACACCACAACAACCGCGTGGAACGCAACGCTGGCGCACGCCACAACGCCTGCGTGCACAGGACAATTCAAAAGAGCACGTAAGTGAGGATCTGTTGCGGACGGCTAAACACAACGCGTGGCACTACGTTTCCCTTCCTCCCTTCTCCTCCTCGTCCTCCTCCTTCGCCTCCTCCCTCGCCCTTTTCCCCGTCGTGCGGGATGGCGCCACAATGCGCGTGCGCTTTTCATTGTTTTCATTGTGAACCGCAGAATGGGAATGGGTAAGAAAAACGTAAGCGCTCGTGCCATGAATCGCAACCTTGCCACGCCACAGCGCCTCCCACTGCGCTGCCTCCACAGAGCTCCGCGCCTCAAGCGAATCCTTTCAGGAAGACGCCGCCCCTGTTTCTATGCGCGTCCCGATCCCCAAGGCACGGCACGGCAGCTCGTCGTTATCCTCCTCTTCCTGCTTTTTGTTCCTCCTCCTTTTCCTCCTCGTCCCTCCTCCTTTTCCTCTTCCTCTTCCACTTCCGCATCCTCTTCCTCTTCCTCCTGCTCCTTTTCCTCTTCCTCCTCCTCCTCCTCCTCCTCTTCCTCCTCCCCGGGAAGACTCGTATATTCGACAGGCGCTGTTAGTTGTTTAAAGATTCCTTCACAGATCGTGTATGACAGAACTGCTTTCATTGGGTTCTAGAGGCGTTCCATTTTGTCGCAGGGATTCGATCTACACTTTTATGTGCAACAACGGTGTTTTGTTGCACACGGCTGCGGTGGTGGACCCAGGCCCCGCGGTGTACACAGGCGCTGTGGTGCACGCAAGCATTGTGGTACACACTGGTGCTACGTTGCGCACGGCTGCTGTGGGGGTACGCGGGCGCTGTGGTGTACGCAGGCGCTGCGTTGCACACGGTTGTTGCGGTTTTCATAGGCGCTGTGGTGAACACAGGCGCTGTGATGCATGCAGGCGTTGTGGTTCATGCAGGCGCTGTGGTTCACACAAGCGCTGTGGTGCAGATCGCCACCGACGTGCTGCGATTACCCGTCCTCGGTCATTCGAAATTCCTACACGCCGCCGGCGTGTAAAAGCGCGACGTCACTGGCCCCCGTCCCACCCCCCACGGTGACGGCCGTCATCGCCACATAATATATATATATATATATATATATATATATATATATATAAAAAAAAAAAAAAAAAAAAAAAAAAAAAAAAAAAAAAAAAAAAAAAAAAAAGGTTCGTGGGCAGCAGCGCGCGCGCGCGTCGGGCGTCCGCCTTTCCAACCGAATCGAGGCTCTGTAACGAACCCGGCTCCACCTCGAGCGTGGATCCAATGAGTGGCATCATTCGGCTTCAGCGCTTTGGCCAAATTTTTGATAAACCTCATCCCCGCGCGAGGCCTCAGCCTCGGCCGTGGCCACACATGCGGGAAAATCTGCAGCGGCCGTGATATCCGTGAGAACGCAAACCCGATATTCTCACGCTGCCCCGCTGCACCTCGCGCGAACGCCGCGGCAAACGGGGCAGCAGTGGAAAAGGCCCTGCAACCCGTCGCGCACACCGCGCAATCACGCGCAAGAGACGGGTAGATGCGTTGAGGCAAAGTGTGCCGCGCACGGGCGGACGCATGCCACGCACGGGCAGTAGGTGCCCCACACGGGCATATGCGTACCACGCGCGGGGAATGTTGCGCCACCAACGGGCAGTGCGACACACGGGCAGATGCGCAAACCACGCGCAGGCAAAACATGCAAGACAAGGGCAAACACTCGCCTCACACGTGCGCAGCTGCAGCCATAAATGAGCCTGGAAACAGACCTCACACGTGCAAATTGCCACAAAGGTTCTGGCAAAATGCCGCACACGGGCAGAAAGGTGCCACAGTAGGGCAGACACACGCCCACAGGTGCGGAAGTGCGGCCACCAGTGGGCCAATAACACACGCCCCACAAGCGCAGTACGCCACACGCGGGCAGAAGGTGTCACAACAAGGCAAACACGCACCTCGCGCGGACGCACGCCTCGTACGTGCAAAATGCCACACACGGGCAGGACGTGCCACAGTAGGGCAGACACACGCCTCGCACGCGAAGAGCCGCGGCCACCCATGGGCCCGGGAGAACGCCGCACGCCGGCAGGAAGTGCCACGGCGGGGCAGACACGCGTCTCCCGCGTGCGGAGCTGCGGCCACCAGTGGGCGAATGACGCACGCCTCACACGCGCGTTGTGCCACGCACGGGCAATCGTTGCCCCCATCACACGCTTTGCACGTGCGGGGGCCGCGGCCACCAGTGGGCCAAGGACGCACGCCTCACACGTGCTCAGTGCCACGCACGGGCGTGCACTGCCGCAGTGGGGCAGACGCACGCCTCGCGCATGCACAGCGCCCCCACACACACGGGCAGACACGCGCTTCAAACGTGCGCATCGCATGGACAAGCGCGCGATGACGCCCGCGCGCACGGCCACGGTGGGCGAAGTTCGTGCCCGGGATCAGCGTTTGCACGATGATCGCCCACCACAAAAAAATATCCTGGCGAAAGACCCAACCATATGCAGTTGTGAATGCCGCAATTGTGAATACCATCTTCGCCCGCGCTCCCTATCTGGCCACGGTTTCCCGCCGGAGCCCGACATGCTCAGGGACACCTTCGTGGCCGTCTTCGCGGGCGCCGACGACGACAAGGACGGCGTCCCTCTCACCGAGGAGCAGAAGCAGGAAAGGGCCTTGAGAGCCATGAGGGAGGAGGTGGCGTGCGTCAATGCTGGTCCCTTCTACCTCCCCCCCCACTGGGAGGCAGCCAGGAAACGGCTCCTGGGAGGTCGAGGGAACGACTGAGGGCTGTTCAGTCCCATTGGGAGGCAATCTCGTGAGCGTGAGCCGGACTATGCAATGCGAAGTAGCGTACAGTCATCGTCCTGACCTAAGGAACGATAAATAAGGAGCGAAGCCCCTTTTTCATCCCAAGGAATAACGCATAAGGAACGATAAATAACAAGTAACGCATAAGGAACTGTACATAACGCATATAAAATCTAAGGAACGACCGAGCCCCTTTTGAAAAGTAAGTGTTCCTTATTCAAGCCGCTCACTGTAATGTAATCGCTGGATCAAGCGGGATTCAGCCATGTTGGATGGGATTGGGCCGTGCTCTTCGGCCACGGATGTACCAGCGCCGATGCCGAATTCAGCCTCCCAGGAACTGCAACCGACAGGACGTGGTGGATGAGGAGGAGGAGGAGGAGGAGGAGGAGGAGGAGGAGGAGGAGGAGGAGGAGGAGGAGGAGGAGGAGGAGGGGGGGAAGGAGGAGGGATAGGAGGAGCAGGAGGAGGAGGAGGAGGAGGAGGAAGACGGGGAGGAGGAGGGGGAGGAGGAGTAGGAGGAGGAGGAGGAGGTGGATGAGGGGGGACGTGGTCCGACGCGGGGCTGAAGGCAAACAATGCCGAACGACAAGGCGAACGGCAGACAATGCTGACCCCCCGAATGCAGCCACACACGTACATGTATCGACATACTCGAGGATGGAACTCGGGACGGGTGGGTGTGTTGCAGCACCAATGTCGCGTGCTAGTTTTACCATTTGGGCGACGAAGCGGAACGGGTCTTACGCGAGAAAACATAGCGAGCTGGCTTACGCTGCGGCTTACGCGCGACCTTAGTTACGCGGAAAACTGACGCGCGAATGTCTGCGCCATCGACCCTGTGTTGTCCCGTCGCTCATGTGCTTGCGGCCGTCGTTCCCATTCATTCTGCACCCATTTCGGTAGTCCAAGAAGGAGGCAGGATCGGTGAGCATCGGATCGGGAAATCGGATCGCACCGGAATCGAGAGGGATCAGCTGCACTATAATACAGCAACGCCATGCAGGAATTGGGCCGCAACGGATTGCCTCGAAAATCAACATCGAATCGGACCGAAGCGGCCGAAACCGATGCCGAATTGGATCGATCGCGTGGAATGGGGCCCTGCGAAGGAAGGCCGCAACACGCGCGGCGCTCAGACGCCGAAGCCGCTGTACTTCGACCCGGGCGGCAGCCAGCCGTCGGCGGCTCGGGGCGGCGAGGTCTGCGAGTAGAGCGGCGTCGCCGCGGTCGTCGGGACGGACGCCTGTTCAGGTTGCGTTGGTTTTAACGGAAATGTATATCGCTGGTGTTGGCGGGCCATCGGCAAATAGCAGCAACTAGCCGCAACGGACTGGCCGCAAATAGCTGCATCGGCAGCCGCACCAACAGTCCACCCATCACCCCCCATTTGCCGCCAATTGCCGCTCAACGCCCAGAAACAAAACTTTCGGTAAAACTCAAGGCTTCGAGCGATCCCAACCGAAACCTTAAGCGTGTGTTCCCGACGGCGCGCGGTCGCCGAATTGGTCGATAACTGCTGTTTCAGAATTCGAAGAAACGGTTCAACCGTGTTCCATGTAGTCACGCTCTTTCATGTTATGGTCTAGTGTTCCTGTTCTGTTCTCTCGGGGCCGGCAAGACGTCGTGACGCCTGTGACGTCAGATGCGTCGCCTGCTGTGATTGTGCATGTTCTGATTGACATATATATATATATGGATATATATATATATATATCCATATATATATAAATGTGTATATACATACATATTTATATATGTATATGTATGTATATATGTATAGCTCATCTCTGTCACTATGCAATTTGAGATCGCCTGGAATGGCCTGGTGTGCGACACTATGATATGACCTGATATGTTATGCCACATGATGGTATAGCACGAGTTGTTCCGTGATGCTATAACAGGGCTAGGATCGGGATAAATCGCTCCAGAGCGTTCCGGAGCGCTCTCAGAGCGTTCCGGAACGCTCTGGAGCGGCCGCGGCGCCCAACACATCCTCCAAACCCCCCGACTCTCAGAGATTTCGAGTTATCCCGATCCGATGTTGTCCCGATCGTCGCGTCGTTTGAGATGCTGTTGGCAGCTCGGCTCAGCACATCACATCATAGGCTGCGCTGTCAGTATTGGTCCCCTGTGCTCTGCTGTCGTGCGATGATGTGCTATGTGATGCGGCCATGGTGTGTTAGGATGAGTTATGCCATAGTGTGTTATGTTCTGAGTGGCTATAAAATGTTATGTTTTGCTAGGCTGCCTCACGATCCGCCATTTTCTGCTATGGTATTTCGTGCGAAGGTATGCTTGGAAGCGGCTCGGCTCTGTATGGTACCTCATGATATGCTATGCTGGTGTGTCTCGCTATGCTCTGATGTCGTGCCATGATACGTTACGTGATGCTGTGTCGTGATAAGATCGCTGTGTCAAGGCGTGTTGAGTTCTGCTCGGGAATGTTATCGTATGCGGTGTTGTCTCGTATTATGGTCTGTCATAGTCTGCTATGGTATGTTATGTGACATGTGTTAGCCCTTGCTGTGGCATGCATTGCTATGTTATGTTACGTCATGTTCTGTCATGCCCGTGTTATGTTATGCCATGTTATGTTGTGTCATGTTGCGTTCTGTCGTGTTCAACGTCGCTATGCTCTTCCGTCGTGTTATGCTCTGTTCTGCGATGCCGTGCCATGATATGATATGTTCTGCCCAATTGTGTGGTATGCTCGGTTCTGTGTTGTTCTGTTGTGTCCGCCGTCTTCTGCTGTATGAGTTTCTGTTCTGGAATGTTATGTGATCCTCTGTTTGTTGACGGCACGGCTCTGTAGAATATAGTATGATATGCTCTGCTAGTTTGCGTCGCTATGCTCTGCTGCGTGCTCTGATATGTTCTGTGATGCCGTGCCATGATCTCATATGTTATGTCAAGGTGTGTTTGTTTATGTTTGGTTATGTGATGTTGTGGTGTGTCGTCTTCTGCTATGTCACGTTCGGTTCTGGTATGTTATGTGATATTCTGTCATGCCCTATTATGCAATGACATTACTATGCCGATGTATGCCATGGTCTGTCGTGCTCATGTTCTGTTCTGTCATGTTCCGGTGTGTGGCAGGTTGTGTTCTGTAGTGCTCGTCGTCGTGATGCTCTGCTGTCATGGTATGATATGTTCTGTGCTGTGGTTTCATGATAGGGTCTGTTCCGTCAAACTGTATTATGTGATGCTCCAATATGTTATGTTAGATAGTGATATGCCGCCTTCTGTTATGTCATGTCCTGCTCTAATATGTTATGAGATGTTCTGTCATCAGAGGCCTCATCGATGGGGTCGGAGTAGATGGTGTCGAAGGATCGCGCCGCGTCGCCTATGCATCGCCGATGCACCGGCGACGCAAAGGCGATGCACTGGCGACGCATCGGCGACTCCGGCGTGGGCAAGCACGGGGTCTGCATCGAACCGCGCTCGCCGATGCATCGGCGATGCAGCGCGATCCTCCGACCCCATCGACTCGGACCCCATCTAGTAAAACGACGCGAAGATTTATCCCGAGCGATTTATCCCGATCCTGGAACGATTTATCCCGAGCGATTTATCCCGAGCGATTTATCCCCATCCGGAACGCTCTGGAGCGATTTATCCCGATCCTAGCCCTGTTTTATCTAGCCTTCTCCTCCCCCCGTCTTCTTCGAGGGAGAGAGAGGCGAACTGGGACGCGGAGGCGAGCCGTCCGGCGCGGGAGCGCAGCCGCCCCCCCTCGCCACATGGCGGGCAGAGTGGGGGGCCTCTCGGAGGCCCCCCCCCTCCTCCTCCCCCTCCTCCTCCTCCTCCTCCTCCTCCTCCTTCCTCCTCCTCCTCCTCCTCCTCCTCCCTCGCTCCTCCTCCTCCTCCTCCTCCTCCTCCTCCTCTCCTTCTCCTCCTCCTCCTCCTCCTCTTCCTCCTCCTCCTCCTCCTCTTCTTCCTCCTCCTCTTCTTCCTCCTCCGCCTCCTCCGCCTCCTCCTCCTCGCCCCTCCTGCGCCTCCTCCTCCTCCGTGCACTGCAGCAGACCCGCGTAGTGAGGTTGTGCAGCCCTTCCCAAGGGTACCCTCGCATCCTTGCCCGCGTCGGCCCATCCTTGGCCACTCTCGCTGGCCGCGCCCCGCTCGAGAAGCTTCCAAATGGCCCTCGCCAGTGCCCTTGCATCCTCATCGTGCGTCCTTATCGTGCCGTCGCTCGGACGTCCATTCCCCGTGCATTTGTCGGTTTCGTACGTGTTTTTTGCTCGATGGTCCAGGATGTTCCTCGATGGTTCTCGCCGTGAAAAAATGCACACGTCCGAGCGATGCAAAGTTATGATACGTGTCGACTGTAAGGATGCCTTCTCGGCCTTCCTTCTAGCCTTCTCGGTCTTCCCGACGCTCCAAGACATCCCAAGCGGCCATCAAGATCGCTTCGAAAGGCCCCGAAGAGGGCACCAAGACGGCCCAGAATGGCCACTAGAGGGCCTAAGAGGCTTCCAAGACAACCCCAGAGGGCCCCGAGACGGCTCCAAGAGAGGGAGCACGGACTGACTTATCGCACCCGGCGCCCCCCAGAGGGCCCGACGAGACAACCAGCAGGCCACCAGGAGGGCCCTAAGAGGCCGCCAAGAGGCTCTGAGATGCTCCAGAACGGCCCCCCAAAGGCATCAAAACTGCCTACAAGATGCTCCCGAACAAGGCCTGATGCTCCCGAACAAGGCCTCCCAGTAGACCCCAACAGGCAGCCCTGAGGACACTGACCTACAACCCCCCAGGCACGGTGGCGGGCTGCACCGGAAGCCATCAGGACTGAACTGTGTGCGTGGTGTGTTGCTCTGAGCGCGGCCCGACCCATTACAGGTGTGCACTCCGCATGAAAGTGCCGGCATACACCTGACTACCTACCAGACCACCCCAACCCAACCCGAAGACCCGAATTTCGGGTTGGGGGGGGTAAGGGTTCCACGCGTGTTTTTTCTATGTTTCCCGAACCCTCCCCCACTAGAAATCGAGGGTAAATCTGAGCCTTCGGGTTGGGTTGGGGTGGTTTGGTGGGTGGTGAACACCGAAGCGGAAGTTCCTTCGGTTCCCCCATCCGAGAAACGCCACCGCTCGCGCTCTGATCCCCGCGCGGGCCCAGATCTGTGCTGGTCTCTCTTGCATGGACGGGTAGCTCCTTTGCTGTTCGACCTCGGCACCACCGCGGCAGGGCAACTATGACACCTCCCCGAGGAGTGTCGCACGCCCGCGCCCGCGCTCACACCACCCACCTGCCACTTACGTGGAATGAATGGCATCACAATACACGAAGGCAAAATACCGTCGGTCGGAAGAAGTCGGTCAGAGCATGGTGTAGGGAGGCGGAACGAAGAAGGCTGGGCTCAGGCCCTCCCCCAAAAAATGGCAAGACACACCAAAAGCACATCGGTTCTTGAAGTATTGAAATAGACTCGGATCTGGGGAGGCAGAAATACCTACTTTCCAGGACCGGCGTGTACACTTCCGAAGATCCGCGCGGACCTGTTGGATCGGCGCTGGAACCCCCTCCCTGGTGCGCGGAGCGCGCCAGGGGCGGTGCCAGAGGCGTCGACATGAGATGTTGTTCATGACCTGGCCTTCTGTCGGGCATGTCGTCCTACAGGCGGATTCTGCAAGAAAAGCGAAACAGAGTCAAACAATAATCAAACATAGCAGAAGCGTAGTCCCCAGACTCTTTACTATTTTTGAATACTCCTCCTGTAGAGGGACATGCCCGATACAATCCTCGACCCTCCGAGGTCTGGACCCCTTCCTGGGGACCAACTTTCCATCCCGAGCCGTCTTGTTGACGGTCCCGGGGCCCCCGGTGAGGGCCCCTGACTGGTTATCGCGTGGATGTCCATTCCCCGTGCATTTCTCGGTTTCGTGCGTGCTTTTTTTTGATAAATGGCCCAGTATGCTCCTCGATGGCCCTCGCCGAGAAAAAATGCACACGTCCGAGCGATGCCCAGGG